TAGATTTTGCTAAGGAGTATGATATCAGTACATTTAACTGTAGTCAAATAGATGAGTGTGACAAAGGTCAAATGTCCTGTTTCTGAAGCTGATGGATTTTTTCCTTCATTCTTTTTTTTGGGGGGGGGCAATTACACATCTTTTTAAAGTCTCTATAAAATGTAGCAAAACGTTTAACCCAGATGAGAAATATTCCATTAAATGACAGTCATGTTAATAGTAAATGGAACATTAAAAGGAATTTAAATACTTACCTTGGTCATTATAAGGAATTACAAATGCACTACTGTGCACTAGATCATTTCTGAATGTTATGGCAGTTTGTCTGGTACACTACACATAAAAAGTCTCTTCATACTATGGTAAAAGAAAGTTATAGGTGCAAAGTATTAATAATAAAATACAGAAATAACATCAGAGGTCTTTTATAACAACAGTTTGCAGTTTGATGAATCCAAAAGCTAGCAACATCTTATGCATATTTTAATGTTATACTTTGTAGTTCTCAAGATACAGAAATGCTAAGGCTTCAGTATGGTCCAACTGTGAAAGAAAAACTATCACAATATGGATTATGGAAGGCTATGTCTGATCAAGCACAAAAATTGAGGTAGGAAGTGGCAAAATAGTTTGTGACAATATGGACATAGCACTTGCTTAGAATATTAGTATTTATATAAACTTCAGTCAATAACTGAAAGATGAAAACATCCTATCAATTATTAACACAGCCTTTATCAAACTCTTTTGATCTGAGGATCTAGCCTTTCACATGGCTTTTTATAACACTTAATGCAATAGGCTATCTATCCCATACAAAAATTCCTCTACCTTTTACCTAAATATTAGAAATAATGCATAAAATGTATTTAATTTTCTTAAACTAATTTATTTATGCTGGTGTAAAACTAAGCGAATTTTCACATTTGGTCTATTATCTCCAGAACTGATGAAAAGATTTGAATTAAATTTGCCATGGATATAAGATGATAAAATGCAAAAAAATGTACCGTTCAACAGTCATGGTAAACACATGTGATTTAAAGCTCAGCAGTGCAAGATAAGAGAGAGTGAAAAAAAAGGATAACAAGTATGGTCCCTTCTAACTGTTGTACATCTCTCACAATGTCATATACTGGAAATGAGGTAACTTGTGAGTCACTGCGGCAGTCAGTTCCATTCTTGCTACGGCACGGTTTTCGGGTCCTGGAGGGGAAGGGCAAATTCCAGTTGCCTTACCAAGAGCATCACAAATATGTTCCATATGGTTTAAGTCTGAAGATCTAGTTGGCCAGTCTATCCTGTTAATATCCTCACTTTCCAAATAATCATTGACCAGAGCTCTATGTGAAAGATCAATGTTGTCCATAAAAGTGAATTTAGGGTTTGTTGATAAATAAATTGGCATACACACTTAAAATGAAGATAAAATATTTCAGGCCTACAAGCTGAAACTGGATTTAGAGACAAATATAAAAACAGGACCTTTTACAGATGACTTGTCTGCTTCATCAGTAGTCTTTTATACAGAGGTTCAGCAATGATTTTGGTGCCTCCCATTCAATTATTGAATGTAGATGCTCAGAAAAGCATTTAACACCCTGCGATTTCCACGGAAAACTCAAATGTAGCAAAATCTGCTCATCCCGCGATTTCCTCGGGCATGTGTTTTTCTTCCTTTATTGAGGAGCACATCCCATTTAACCACTGAAATAAATTATATACAGTATTAGATGTTTAGTTTACGTTTTGGCCAACAGATATCGTTAGTTGTCCACTAAATTGCGGCATTTGAAGGCATGAGGTATTACTGCTCAAACTCCACTTTTTTCTTACAGAAATGGCTGCTGGAAAACATTCAGCGATTATCTTGATTAGTTAATTAAATTATTGAATTATTAATTAGATTTATTGATTAGATTAATAATTACATTGATTATTAATTAGATTTATTGAATCTGGTGCAAAGACTGTTAAGTTGGACTTTGCCTTGAACAGTGTTTTGAACTCTTTATCATACTAAACTGCATTTCTATGGTATCCTTCTCTCAGCGCTTTGTATTTTCTTAAATTTTATATATTTTACTTTTTTATATTATGCAATAAATAGAAACTAACCGTAATTCGACTGAAATTTATTTAAATAAATTTTTTTTTGGTGACAACATTTGAAATTGGTTTTTCTGGCAACTTAGTTTCTCATGATAAAAATCTATATAAAAAAATATTTTCTAGAATGTAAAATGCATTTTTCAGTTCTCCAATACATATATAGATTTAAAATATGAAAAAAAAAGTGATTACATCCAATTTATCTGATCATAAAAAATTTACGGACGGATGGAGTAGAAACTCATGCTAATTTTTTTCTCCCCATTATATGAAACTCGTGCTTTGAGGGCCAATAGAACTGCTATAACTGTTGCATAGAATTTCCTTTAATTATATCATACTCTGTAATGTTGAACCTTATGTATAATCATGTGAAGGTACCATGACTGTTCATATATGGTATTTATGAATGCAATATATATATATATATATATATATATATATATACATTTGTATTATATCAATGTCTATACCAAATTTCATTGTCTATCAATCAGTTCTGGAGACCAAATGTGAAAAATTCTTTTACTTTTGAACATCAGTTATTTATTGAATCTGATAATGACTCTACATAATTAAAAAATACCGTACAATCACTTATAGAAAGCTACATACAAAATAGAATAATGAAAACATGCACTTTTAATAAAGGCATCTGTTAAAAAAAAAAAAAAAAATTATAAATTTAACTTTTGAGTTCTAACCTTCTAAATTAAGAGTTTCTTCTAAACTTCATTTGCAACACAATCACAACTGATCAAAGCAGGTTGAAAAACAAACTGTGCCATTTGCAATTCAATTATTTCACTTAGGCAATACCTCATTAAAAGCACAATTTTAGTTCTAGTTATTTTAACAACAGCTGTGATTATGTGAATTTAACCATTTTTGCTGTGATAAGTAACAAAATGAAAGAATGCAATATAAATATATATTATTAACTTGTAAGATCAGAAGTGTGCTATAGTAACTTCCATAGCTTGTGACTGTATACAGTAACTATATGAAACTCTGTAGGGGGGAAGAGAGAGAGCAATCACAACTATCTCTGAGAAACTCCATATTTTCAAAATGCGATCATTCTAGTACAAAGGATTCCTTCTAAAGAACATTTTTACTTATATCTTTATCCCTCTCCTACTTTTATCTTCAATGATTTTACTCATATTCATTTATGTCAAAATGATAAAATAACAACTGTTCTAATCCAAATGTCAGAGAATGACACAATCACATTAACTCTTTGACTGCTATGCGGCACAAAAGTGCTGTGTTGATGTCTCAAAAAACAAAAAAAAAAAAAAAAAAAAAAAAAAAAAAAAAAAAAAAAAAAAAAAAAAAAAACAAAAAAAAAAAAAAAAAAAAAAAAAAAAAAAAAAAAAAAAAAAAAAAAAAAAAAAAAAAAAAAAAAAAAAAAAAAAAAAAAAAAAAAAAAAAAAAAAAAAAAAAAAAAAAAAAAAAAAAAAAAAACCGCGATGCAGTTAGTTATTTTAGAATGCACTCGTGTTACAAAGCACGCGTAAGGTCAGACTACGAACGTTCACACCCATGGAGCAACAAAGACACACTGAAACTCGCAGCACTTTTGCACCCTGTAGCAGTCAAACGGTTAAGATTGTGCACTTTTGAAATTATACCTATTTTTATATATGATGGTTTTAAATTCGAACTATTTATACAATACTATGATAAATACAATTAGCAATACAAAAATAAGAAATTTAAAAATACTGACTTTTAACTGACTTAATAATACTTAGATTTCAAAGCATTTAAAAATGAATGGGCGAAATGTAAATTACTTTTTTTTTTTTTTTTTTTTTTTTTTTTTTTTTTTTTTTTTTTTTTTGTTTTTTTTTTTTTTTTTTTTTTTTTTTTTTTTTTTTCATCCAAAGAGAATTATAATTTCTCAAAATAACTCAACCTCAGAAAAAATTAGTTTATCAATCCATTTTGATAAACTAATTTTTCTACAATTGGATTTTCCCACCAAGATCTTATAATATGTCTCAATAATGAAATATCCACAATTGCATCAAAAACTTCCTGGATTAGCTATGAAGGCAAACAAATAGCAATCATGGTTGTATTGTTACAGTAACCTTCAAATTTGATTAGACAGCATGCCAAGAAACACTGCTGTGTTAATACTGGGGGTTGCTTATAGTAGTGTTTTTGTGATTACCTGTGTGTAGCAGTCTGTGATTACATCGTGAACAGAAAAGAGGAAGAACAAGCCAACGAGAAATTTTGTGTTAAACTGGGCAAACCAGTCACACAGACACTGATTGTTCAACAAACTTGCAGCGGTGAGGCAATGAGTTGTACGTAATGTTCTGAGTGGCACAGGATTTCCAAAATTAGAATAACATTCTCAAGGCTATCTGGAAGACCTCACATGATTATCACAAGACAAACAACAGTAATGCAGACATTACTAATGCACAAAGCTGATTTGTGAAGACAACCCTAATATCAGAATTGAACATACTGCATAGTGCTATCAAGTTTGTCTCCTGTTTGCTGACCTCAGCAAAAGAAAGACTGCATTGCAGTGTGCCAAGATTTCTGCATATAAGTTGGGGAGAATCCATTCCTCATATCTAGGATCACCACTGATGATGCGACTGAGCATGAACTGCAAAAGATTAGGGACTTGCTAATGCAGAAAGACTTCGAGGCTTTATTCCAGCAATGGCAAGAACTCGGAAGATTAATGCATGCTATGCAAGGTAACTATTTTAATGGCAAAGATGCTCAGGTTTCGGTAACACACAACCTTTTGTTAACAGAACTAATCCAGAAATGTTTTTGATTCACTCTAGTAAATAAAGAGGAAGCATGGACATCAGTTTCAGTACATCATAATTAAATTAAAAGAGGACTCATTCAAACTCTGAAAATTCACTTTATTGTTATAAACATTGATGGAATAGTATACAGTGACTTTGTCAAACTATAGTAGATTGAATTACAAAATATCTTCTATAAAAAACATGTACATTGTTTCTGATGAACAAAATTCCCATAAGACACTTTTGATTTATACAGTGTTTGTTTATGTTTGGGAATGTACCCTCTCAAAAAGAAATCTTGCATAACACATTTAAACATTAAAAGATAGCAAATGAATCTGCGAACATATTTACTCCTTCACAGGAAATGAAAGGAAATCATCTAAGCATGGTCCATTCCTTCCTAGTGGGTCATTTGGAATCATAAGAATATCGCCAACAAAACAAAACATGAGCAATCTGAAAATTGAAGGCAGAAATTGAGAATTAATTATGACGAGTTAAATATATGCTGGAAATACAAAACTTTCAGTTTTTATCATACAATTTATGTTTCCAAACAATGAATACTTTTACGCTGCATTTAAGCATTCGAAGAAACACACTTTTCCTCCAAATGCCATTTGAAAGAAAAACTGAGTGAATATTTTTCAAAAGCTAATAAAGTTCTAAAATATATCACCAAGTATGCTGAAAAATTTCATCCACAGTAATCTCTATGAACTAATTAATTTCTTAAAAATAGTAAGTAAATAATTATAGCAGTAGTATGTGAAGTTTGGCTGCTCAAAATTTTCACTATAATTCTCAATTATAATTAATTGTACCGAGGGCGTTGGGTGTGTTCAGATAGTTGGATGAAAGATGTGATAATGTGAGATTTCTAAGATTGTGATATCATTATATTTAATTAAATCAATTTATATTTTGTTGATTGTTGATTTATTGAAATTTGGTGTAATATTATGGTTACTGAACCACCACACTATGAAAAGCTGGATTACCACTGAAATTTCATCCACTTTTCATGTTTTGCAGCATCGGCCATTGGAAAACCAGGTAAGAGAATCTTTATTGAATTATTGAAACTGAATTATACCTGGATAGAAATTAAATATGACTGAAAATCTGTCAAAGTTGAAAGAAACGCACTTCCATGCATTCGATGTTGACGAAATTAATTAACAAAATAGAAGTAGCGATCAACAACGAAAACGAAACAGTCGATCAGTTCGAAGCATTTTTGGAACAATTAATCAGAAAAGAAACTGACTTAAATTCTTTAAATGATGAAATTGAAAATCTTTTGAGCGCCGAGGCAATATCCGAAGCTACAGAAGAAATCAAAGAAAAAATAATTTTTTGGAAATCGAAACTTCATTCTAAAATAAAGAAAATGAATTCTGATTCTATCCAAGTTGATACAGTTTCACAAAACATTCAATTGATAATTAATGAAACTGAAAATACAAACATAAAATTGCCTAAATTACATATTAGTAAATATTATGGTAATTACTCTGCTTGGTTAGAGTTTTACAATTTATTTGAAAGCTCTGTTCATAATAACTCTAAATTTTAAGCAAGGTTGATAAATTTAAGTATTTGAAATCATATCTCGGTGGTACTACGGCAGCACGCATTAGTGGATTTGCTTTAAGTGATGAAAATTATGATAAAGCACTTGATTTATTGAAAGAAAGATTCAGAAATAAAAACATTTTGATTAACACTCATTTGAGTGTGAATTTAACTCCAGTCAAAAACGCTAACGATGTTTTAAGTTTACGAAATTTATATGATAACGCGGAAACACAGATCAGAAGCTTAGATGCTTTAAGAATTACTGGTGAATCTTACGCAAATTTAGTAACACCAATTTTAATGAAATTCATTCCTTCAGAATTTGTTTTATAATTTAATCATATTCAAGGCGACAGAGAATTTGACTTAAAAACTCTTGTGCAATTCATTAATAAAGAAATTCAAAGCCATGAGAGATCCTTTCCAATTAATAATTATAAATCATCGAATCAGCAAGTTCCAGCAAGAGAGCCCCGCAAATGCCAGCAATCAGCGAGTTCCCCGCAAGAGAAAATAAAACGTAAAATTTCTACTTCTGTTAGACATAACTCTTCAAGACCTCCACATAAGAGGGAGAATTCTTTCTCCTTCCCACACACGCATGAATTCCTGGCCTCAGTCGAAAATGTTATGTATTTATTTTGTAGCAAAGGTCATAAATCAGAATTGTGCTCTACATTTGATGTAAATAAAATAAAATTAAAAAAAAAAAAAGATATATTAAAGAAACAAGTCGCTGTGTCTTATGCTTGACACCAAATCATTGAGTTGCAGAATGTTTTAAAAAAGAGCTAAGTCCTAGCTGCAGTAAACCTCACCATGTCTCAATTTGTTTTCGAAATCAAAATAATCCACACATTATTTCTCCAAAAGGAGAAAATGATAATGTTGTGTCGGCAAATATCGCATCGGCAAAAAAGAATACTATGTTACAAACATGTTCAGCCTTAAGTGATAATGGAAAACAGCAGGAAATTGTTAGAATTTTCCTGGACAATGGTTTACAACGCTCCTTTGTTTTGTTAGCTATTTCCAAAAGGTTTAACTTTCCAGGTGCTAGAAAGGAAAGCCTTTCTATTTGCACAATTGGTGCTAAGGAAATGGAAACAAAATCATTTAATGTAATTAAACTTAAATTAAAGAATACAGATGATCAAAATTTATGTATAGAAATTGAAGCACTAGAGACAGAACATATTTCGGGCACACATATACAGACTCCCGATAAAAATATTGAGAAACAATTTAGTCATTTAAAAAATGTACAACTTGTGGACTGTTATGAATTTAAACAATAAAGAAACATCAATACTAATAGGTGCAGATTACTATTATAATATTGTCACTGGTCGAATTAGAAGCCTAAATAAAATCCTCGTTGCAGTTGAAACAATATTTGGGTGGTGTTTGCAAGACCGAAATACGAACTTAAATGAAGCATTTGCAATGAGTGTTATGGTAAAAGAATCCAATATTTCCGATCAACTCAAGGAATTTTGCGATTTAGAGAATTTGGGTATCAAGGAAGAAGTAGCTGACATAGAAACCACTGAGAAAGATATACTGAGTGAATTTGAATCTGGAATTTCACATCAAAATAAGCAATACAAAGTGAAATTACTCTGGAAACCAAATATGAAGACATTATTAGAAAATAATGAACAGAGAGCAATGAAAAGATTTTTGAGATTGAAATCATCTTTTAAAGATGACCCTTCCTTATTTTGTGAGTATAACACTGTTCTAAAGAATTATCTTTCAGAGAATATTATTGAACCTGTCCCAGTTGATGAAGTAAATTTACACCGAAATACATTTTATCTAACCTCATCGAGCTGTAATACGTACGGATAAGACTACAAGTAAATTATGCACTTGTGTTTGATGCTTCGGCGCATGGGAAAGGTCAGTTATCTTTGAACGATTGCTTATATACAGGGACTTAATTTTATGCCTAACCTATTTCTTCTTTTGATCAGATTTAGAACGAATCCGATAGCATTTGTTGCAGATATTAAGATGGCCTTTCTCCAGATTGAAATAGATGAAAGTGAACGAAACTACACCAGATTCTTCTGGGAAGAAGATCCAGGAACTGATGATGAAAACAGGAAATTGGAAATTTTTCGGATGACAAGGGTGTTATTTGGGGTGAGATCAAGCCCGTTCCTTCTTGCAGCCACAATCAAACATCACTTGAAAAGATACGTAGATATATTTCCTCTGACTTCTAAACATCTTAATGAATCATTGTATGTTGACAATTTTATTTGTGGGCAAGGTCACTGTTCAACAGGCTCTAAAGACTTGTAAAGAGAGTGTAGACATTCTAAAAGAGGCAAGCATGGACCTTCAAAAGTGGAGAACCAATTCTCCTGAGCTAAGTAAATAATTAAAGAATTTAAACTTCAATGTAGATCAGGGTGAAGAGTTTCTAGATACAAAGTTGATAGCTTCAAAAGTATTGGGAATTGGTTGGGATGAACAAACTGACACGTTTTATTTCGATACCAGAAATCTGGAAACATTTCTTTTAAAAAGAACTAACACAAAAAGTCACTTACTACAAGCGGTAGGTCGACTTTTCGATCCAGGTAGGTTTTATAGAACCATATACTATTAGAGTTACTATTAGTACTTGATACAAGAAATCTTGGTGTTTAGGATTAGACTGGGATGAAAAATTGTCCCAAACAGTTGGAAATTGCTTGGAATAAATGGTGCGATGAGATCCAAGATGTAAAGGAAATAATTATCCCCCCATATTATTTTCAAAATTCTTTGCCCAGTCATGCAATCACAATTCAATTACACTGTTTTTCAGATGGATCTAAGAAAGCTTATGGTACTGTTGCATACTTGCATAGAATTAAAAGGGGAAAATATTATTTCTAGGTTTGTAGCATCAAAGGGCAGGGTAGCTCTGTTAAAAACCCCTTTCGATTCCTAGATTAGAGCCCATGGGTGCACTTTTGTCTTCAAGATTGAGCAATAAAATTTTAACTGCACTAAGTTTTCCAGTTACTCGATATTTTTGGACAGAGTTCCTCAATAGCTTATTACTGGATCAAGGATGATCTAAATAGACATAAGGTGTTCGTGAAGAATAGAATAAAAAAAAATACAAAAATATAGCAACAATCCAAAGAATGGCATCATCGTATGGGAAAGAATAATCCCGCCAATTTGAGTTCTAGGGGTTTAATCTTTAGGTGAGCTCAAGACTAATCACCTCTGGTGCATGGACCCTATTGGTTGACAGTGAATAATAGAGCATGGCCATCCTCCTTAGAATCGATGGAAGAAACTGAAATAGATGTCGATAAGTTAGAGTTTAAGAAGTCAGTCTAAAATCCTTGCATTCTGGTGTACAGACTACATTATCTTTAATAAGACAGTCATATTGGATACTGTCTGGCCAAGATCGAGTTAAAAGAGTAATAAATAAGTGCATCACTTGCTTTAGAACGAAGAATCAAGTGGTACGCCAGATGATGGGTAATCTACCTAGGGAAAGAGGTACCTTCCAGACCTTTCGAGAAAGTCAGATTAGATTTTGCAGGACTTATAATCACGAAACCTAATTTGAAAAGGTCAAAGGTGACTTTAAAGTCTTATATTGCATTATTTATCTGTTTTTGCACTAAGGCAGTGCTTAGAAGTCGTTTCTGATTTAACAACAGAAGCTTTTCTAGCCTGTTTATGACAATTTATTGCCAGAAGATCCAAACCAGCCATCATCTGGAGCGACAACGCCACGAATTTCAAAGGTAAGAGAAATAGTTCTTAACTCATATAATGAAATTTGCAAATCTAATCCAATTCAAGGATTTAGTGCAGAAGAAGGCATCCAATGGAAATTTATCCCACCAGCT